GCATCAGAAAAAGGAAGCAAAAAATGATATAAAACTAAAAGATATGTAAATCAAACTATTTAACTAATCAATTTGTTTATATGCTCTTTCTACAAAAAAAACTTGCGAAAAAGTAACTTCGGAGTTTCATAGTCCTATTAGTATCAGTGGCAAGTTATGTAATGCTCTATTCGACGACACCAGCCAGCGGTAGAGCTTCTTTTCGAGCAATTTAATTCGTTATTGATCTACGTTCTACTAGCCAATTAGCCTTTATTTCGCAAATATCAATATCTGTGTGTGTTTTATAATTGAAGTTTCACAGTCAATTTCCTGACAATTCAGTAAAAAGCCACTGTGAATCATATGACCATTAGATCATGAAGGTGACAAATCGCAAAACGATGGTCGTGCATAGGATTGCTCTTTAAATATTGGGATTTAGAATTTTTAGCATATAAAGGTCATGGCCCAGCTTTAAGCACCATTACGTCAATGAATCAAATTTATTTTGATCTCAGCAAACGGGATCGCCGACATTAATACATGACCCCAGGGGCGGTAGTATCCTCCCTGTATTTTACGACATCAAGGTCACAACATGTGACGAGTGTGGCTCGCGCCAGATCTATGCCGTATCTCTCAACACGCGAGGCTGACGCGGTGCCTACACCTCGCAACATCGGCGCGTTAGGAGGATACGAGGATGTTACAAGGTTTGCGATGTTGACATCGCGACAGGCGCGAGGTGAGCTAGTGCGTGGATTGCAGAGAAGCAGACATGTTGCAAGATCATGAGCTGGAACACGCCATGTTCACATTCTATACGGTTAGTTACAGTTACAGTTACAGTCACATTGCAGACTACATATTAATAACGCGCATTGTATCAGCTAGTAGAGGGGAAATTCTTTGCCATTTTTAAGGTTTCAATCCTTTTTGCTTCACCTCAACGCAATTTTTGCTCAACTCTAGAGTATTTGGTGATCATAATTATATTCATAGCCCCAAAAAGTAAATGTCGTTTTGTTAGCCTTATGAAAAAATGGCTCCCTTCTAGAATTGGGTTGTCTCAAAAGAATAAGCGTCTCTCTTCCTTCTTTCTAATTTATGCTTGTCAAAGTTTATTGTAAGTGAGTGATATGTAGCACATAATTGGTTCACTGATTTTTCTAGATCCAAATTGTTTTTCTTGCATTTTTCGCAATTTCATAGTGCAAATGCGTTGATTCATTGACGGACTCGTGCTTTGTGGATCATCGACCAAGACAACGCAGTACGCAATTTACTATTTCATACTTCCAACTAAAGAAGTAAACATCAAAAACTTTACTGACAATTATTTATATAAAGGAGGTCGCTCTTATTTTTAAAATGGCATTCCATTTTTGGCATAATGAAGTTAAGGAAGTAATAAGTAATAAGGAGTTGAAACCTCAAATTGAAGGAAGGTGAATTTGCCTGGACACGCAGAGCAATTAAGGGGGGAATGAAGCAATTTCAAAATCGCTAGTATACATATTGTAACACTTGTTACTGCTAATGCGGCAGGAAGTGCTCCTCTTTTGCAAAAAGATGTGTTAGGTAATGTTTCCAATGTTTATGGCGTAACGTTTGTGGTAGTGATAGCGCAATTGTTATGAGCGCCGTTGACGTTCGCTCAACGCAAGTTCGGTGACTGGCCGGGCGCATATTTTGCGAATCCTCAAACCTACTGAAAAACCTCATGCAAAGTTTCGGCTAGCTCATGCCATGCTCGAAGCTATCACGAGCGTGGCTCGTTCTTGTTCTGACAAATTTGGGGGATTACTGCCACCCTAGGAAACATGTGAGTAGCAACAATTTTTTCAACAAAAAACAACTTATAGTGGCTCTCTCAGAAAATGATAGCACACACATCAGTTCTGCATTTTGTGAAAAACTTTTGTTAATTCCACATCTTGGAGTAAGAGATAAAATATGCATCGTCTTCTTTGAGTCGAGTTACTTGGATTATTTTGGTGATCTTCAAACGCTGAGAATGTCGTACAATGAACCACATGATGATAGGTGATATCAATGTATGGAAAGGTATAGTCTGAAAGTTTCGACGGTATCAGTTTATACATGATATATATCGTAATAAATAAACTTACGTAGCTGGAAACAAATAGAATTCGAAACGTAACATAATAAAATCTGTCCACCAGAAGAGAGAGTAGTGCAGCCGAAATAGTGAAAAATGTATAGTTTATGTTTTGAAAAATTGTGAGAGGTAGTAATAGTTTGATCACAGAGTAGTTTTCATTCAGTTGATATGAGGTTCTTAGATCGAAAGCTTTTCTAAATTACCTTGCGTAAAATTCTTGCATTTGATAACTACTACCTAATAATTTGCACCTTTTGATGGCAACCTTATTAGTGGTGAACAAAATGATAACACCAATCAATGTAGCCACATTCACACCGCAGAGGACAAAGCATAATCGAGATATTCTTTCTAGGGTAGATGGTGCAGACGATGAAGAACAATATGGTTTTACTTGAGGAAAGTCTGCTTTCCGTATGGCCCACGCCGTAGCAGCAAATGCAACAGCGACCTAATTTGATTCAATTTCTCTGCTTTTCTCTTTTATTCTAGTAAACATAGTTATATTATACCTTACCGAAATAGTTGCAAAACTTATACCCAACTTCTTTCCAAATGTTTCATAGCTACTGCGCTTCCACAATGCCATGCAGCGTTCAGCCACCATTGCAAACTGTAATATATCGAATAACCATAGATCAAAAGAGATTTCATCAACTT